GTTCCGAGCGTTTTTCTTCCGCTGGGTCATGTGGCTGCGCTTGTCTGGTCCTATTACCAAGCCAGCAAGGGCGTGGGAGGGTTGCGAGCATCATCGGTCATCGGTAATCGCGAATGGAGAGCGCCCGCTGCACTTCCTGCACATGTGCGTATCCTTCCGCATTTTGGGGCTGGAAGCGCTCGTTCCGAGCGTTTTTCTTCCGCCGGGTCACGTGGCTGCGCTTGTCTGGTCCTATTATCAAGCCAGCAAGGGCGTGGGAGGGTTGCGAGCATCATCGGTCATCGGCGATCGCGAATGGAGAGCGCCCGCTGCACTTCCTGCACATGTGCGTATCCTTCCGCATTTTGAGGCTGAAAGCGCTCGTTCCGAGCGTTTTTCTTCCGTCAGGTCACGCGGTTGCGCTTGTCTGGTCCTATTACCAAGCCAGCAAGGGCATGGGAGGGTTGCGAGCATCATCGGTCATCGGCGCTCGCGAATGGAGAGCGCGCGCTGCACTTCCTGCACATGTGCGTATCCTTCCTCATTTTGAGGCTGGAAGCGCTCGTTCCGAGCGTTTTTCTTCCACTAGGTCACGTGGTTGCGCTTGTCTGGTCCTATTACCAAGCCAGCAAGGGCGTGGGAGGGTTGCGAGCATCATCGGTCATCGGCGATCGCGAATGGAGAGCGCCCGCTGCGCTTCCTGCACATGTGCGTATCCTTCCGCATTTTGGGGCTGGAAGCGCTCGTTCCGAGCGTTTTTCTTCTGCCGGGTCACGTGGCTGCGCTTGTCTGGTCCTATTACCAAGCCAGCAAGGGCATGGGAGGGTTGCGAGCATCATCGGTCATCAGCAATCGCGAATGGAGAGCGCCCGCTGCACTTCCTGCACATGTGCTGATCCTTCCGCATTTTGAGGCTGGAAGCGCTCGTTCCGAGCGTTTTTCTTCCACCGGGTCACGTGGCTGCGCTTGTCTGGTCCTATTACCAAGCCATCAAGGGCGTGGGAGGGTTGGGAGCATCATCGGTTATCGGCGATCGCGAACGGAGAGCGCCCGCTGCACTTCCTGCACATGTGCGTATCCTTCCGCATTTTGGGGCTGGAAGCGCTCGTTCCGAGCGTTTTTCTTCCGCCGAGTCACGCGCCTGCGCTTGTCTGGTCCTATTACAAAGCCAGCAAGGGCATGGGAGGGTTGCGAGCATCATCGGTCATCGGCGATCGCGAATGGAAAGCGCCCGCTGCACTTCCTGCACATGTGCGTATCCTTCCGCATTTTGAGGCTGGAAGCGCTCGTTCCGACCGTTTTTCTTCCGCCGGGTCACGCGGATGCGCTTGTCTGGTCCTATTACCAAGCCAGCAAGGGTATGGGAGGGTTGCGAGCATCATCGGTCATCGGCGCTCGCGAATGGAGAGCGCCCGCTGCACTTCCTGCACATGTGCTGATCCTTCCGCATTTTGGGGCTGGAAGCGCTCGTTCCGAGCGTTTTTCTTCCGCTGGGTCACGTGGCTGCGCTTGTCTGGTCCTATTACCAAGCCAGCAAGGGCGTGGGAGGGTTGCGAGCATCATCTGTCATCGGTAATCGCGAATGGAGAGCGCCCGCTGCACTTCCTGCACATGTGCGTATCCTTCCGCATTTTGGGGCTGGAAGCGCTCGTTCCGAGCGTTTTTCTTCCGCCGGGTCACGTGGCTGCGCTTGTCTGGTCCTATTATCAAGCCAGCAAGGGCGTGGGAGGGTTGCGAGCATCATCGGTCATCGGCGATCGCGAATGGAGAGCGCCCGCTGCACTTCCTGCACATGTGCGTATCCTTCCGCATTTTGAGGCTGGAAGCGCTCGTTTCGAGGGTTTTTCTTCCGCTGGGTCACGTCGCTGCGCTTTTCTGGTACTATTACCAAGCCAGCAAGGGCGTGGGAGGGTTGCGCACATCATCGGTCATCGGCGATCGCGAATGGAGAGCGCCCGCTGCACTTCCTGCACATGTGCGTATCCTTCCACATTTTGAGGCTGGAAGCGCTCGTTCCGAGCGTTTTTCTTCCGTCGAGTCACGTGGCTGCGCTTGTCTGGTCCTATTACCAAGCCATCAAGGGAGTGGGAGGGTTGCGAGCATCATCGGTCATCGGCGATCGCGAATGGAGAGCACCCGTTGCGCTTCCTGCACGTGTGCGTATCCTTCTGCATTTTGAGGCTGGAAGCGCTCGTTCCGAGCGTTTTTCTTCCGTCGAGTCACGCGGCTGCGCTTGTCTAGTCCTATTACCAAGCCAGCAAGGGCGTGGGAGGGTTGCGAGCATCATCGGTCATCGGCGATCGCGAATGGAGAGCGCCCGCTGCACTTCCTGCACATGTGCGTATCCTTCCGCATTTTGAGGCTGGAAGCGCTCGTTCCGAGCGTTTTCCTTCCACCGGGTCACGTGGTTGCGCTTGTCTGGTCCTATTACCAAGCCATCAAGGGCGTGGGAGAGTTGCGAGCATCATCGGTTATCGGCGATCGCGAACGGAGAGCGCCCGCTGCACTTCCTACACATGTGCGTATCCTTCCGCATTTTGGGGCTGGAAGCCCTCGTTGCGAGCGTTTTTCTTCCGCCGGGTCATGTGGCTGCGCTTGTCTGGTCCTATTACCAAGCCAACAAGGGTGTGGTGTTTCTTCATCCACTCGCGGCTCCACTTCTGGGTGTCTTTCACCGAGATGGCAACCCCGTTTGCGCGCTGAAGGCAGATGTAGCGGTACAGCGCCGCCTCCATGTCGGGGTAGTGTGCGTCGCGACCCCTCCCGTGCATCCGCTTGCGGCAATTCGCCGCTCCCTTGTAGCGTGGGCGGGTGTTGGGATTATTGAGGGTGGGGTCTTTCGGCGTAGGCTTCTTAGGGAATGAAGGAATCGGCCCCGCCGCTTCCGCGTATTCGTCGTCGCTGCACAGAGGCTCGTTGACAACGATGGCGTCCGGATTTGGCGTCTTCTATGCCTTCTTCTTAGCAGCACCCTTGCTGGATCCAGGATCGCCGTCGGTTTTCCACTTCTTGTTGCTTGTGCGGCGACGAACAGTGGCCTTAGCAGGGGCTTCCACGACCTTGGCTTTACCCTTCTCTGCAGCGGTGAGTATCGGGCGACGCTCCTCCCCCGGACTGTCGTCGTCAGAGAGCACCACGCGGGCACGCTTCGGCTTGGACAGTAGGCGATGGCGCAGCCTCCGCTTCAGTAGCGGAACGTCGTCGTCGTCCTTGAAGCTCCGCGGGTCGTCGTCGGAGCCTTCACCGTCAGATAAGACGGCATCCGCAGCAACCTTGTCCGCCTCCGCCACGGCATCCGCATCCGCAATGGCGGCCACCTCCGCAGGCGCAACTGTCTCGGCGTCCGCTTCCGCCTCGTCGTCTGCCTCCGCATTCGCATCCACCGTCGCTCCCGGTGCATTGGAGCCCCAAATAGGAGCCATGTCTTTACGTGGCTGCGACTGTTTCAACTGTAAATGTTGTTGTTAGTAAAAAGTTTGCTTTGAAATCCTTGTAGGAAAATTTCGGCGGTAGAACGTCCCGCCTTGCTCGCGTTCTTCGCCATGGCTACACGGATGTCATCGCCGGGCGAGTTCATTCGCCCGTAGTTATTCACCTGCACGTGAGGACGAGGAGAGGACGAGCCTACGGGTACTTTGCTGCGCATGGTTAGAAATGTTGGAAACAATCGGTCCTAAGCGCCTCTGTCGTGTCGAAACACTAAGACACAAAAGAAACGAAGTATAACGAATCACCGGCGAGTCAACCCTCGGAGGTTGAAAGTAACTGTTGGAGGTTACGCGAAAGTCAAAGGTCAGCGACCTTTGACCTGACAAAGAACAGCGCGACAGCAAGGACAAACAACTGACTCGGTATTGAGCAGTTGCCCGAGTCGTCACTGTATCGAACCGCAACAGCAATAGTAAAACGGTTATTAACTGTATCTCTTCGTATTCCTTGTACTCTTATAAAAGCTTGTATCTCTTTGTTTTAATCAACTTACTTTGCCCTCACATACTAGCGCAAGGTGGTTCACAACTCTTTAATTAACGCTTCCGCTACTACACCAACTCTACCCAGAGTTCACCCCTGCAAAGATCCTAAGGGTTTTTCAGCCCAACAAGAAAGCATGCCGAGAGCAAGGTTGAGTCGAGTATTCAACCTCCTTGAGCACCAAATGAAGCACGAGCCCGCCTACCCCCCCCCCAGCCAGAGTGCCCCATCCAAAGGTGCCGAGACGCTCCTCTACGAGGCATCTCCTCGTAGAGGACAGTCCTCACGCTGCCATCGTGCTGCCAGCAGCGTTATGGAAGCATCCATGCGCTGCTGGCAGCAAAACGACGCTGGCAGCATCATTAGATGCTGCCAGCATAGAGGAATGTTGCCAGCGGTGGCAGCTTTGTTGCATCCCTCACGTGGCAAGTGTGGGCGCTGCATGCATCACCACCGAGGTCGGCCTGTTTCAATGAATCTGGCCCCAGGGTGGTTTCTACACACTTTGCAAGTGTTACAGACTACTTCAAAAAAATTCCATTTACCAAGCCAGCAACGGCGTGCGAGTATTTGGAGCATCATTGGTCATCGGCGCTCGCGAATTTGATCCGCGAGGCGAACTGGATGCCCTTTGTATTACCGTAGGTTCGTTCACTAGATATTATTTTCTACCTACTGGCCTTAGTGATTCTATTTCATTCCTTGTTTGAACTTTCCTAACGTTCTGATGACAGCTCCAAATGACATGCTTTATAGCTTGAAACCGTATGAAAGCTAGCTTAGCATACTTAATCAACAAAGATTTGTGCTTGTTTGAGCACCCTACACGCCGACACAAAGCAGAAACGTGCGGTAGCTCACCGTGAAGAAATGTTTAACCCCCCCCCCCCCCCCCCCTTAAAGCCCTTGGGTTTCTGAAATATGAACTTTTCAAAAAGAGGACCTCGCACCAGTCTTTTCTTTTCGTCTTCTTTGTGTTAGGCCTGATAACGACCTCCGGTAGTTCAGCAACTTTCAGTCTAAAGCTTGAACGTAGTGCCCCATGCACATCATTTCTCCGGGCGCTTCGGTGCAGGCCCAAGTGTGCGAACGACAGGGCCAGCAGGCTGCGAGGAGTACCCTCCGTGCGCTTGGAGCTCGGCAATGAGCTGGCCGATGGCGTCATGCACTTGCGCCACTGCAGACGCTGGGATGATGATGGAAGAGCGATCTACACCAAGCACCTGAATGGAGACACAACATAAAGGCTGAGGATGACACAACATGCAATGCAAACTGTGGCAGCCAACATGAACGGGGTTGGCACCAAAAAGGTGCTGGTTGCGCACAGGCAAGTACTGGGCTGACCTCAGACATCTTGAGGAAGTGGCCGCGCGGGTTGGAGCCCAGGTCCAGGAAGAAGCGCTTCTGGTCCGCCACTATCACACGCGATGCTGTCGCACCTCCCGCTCCCACCGCACCCCCTGCTGAAGAGCCCACGCCTGCCAAACCCCCCTGAGTGCCCCCTGCCGTTGCTGCCCCGGCATCATAGCCTGCGGTCGTTGCTGCTGCCACCTGTGGTAATAAAAAAAGGGTGCCCCAAAGTCAACGAAAGAAAACAGACTTAGACAGAGAGCAGCATACCGTACAAGGGAGCCACAGCACATTTGCATACTTGGGAGACGAACGGGTTGATTATTTCACGAAGAATACAGGCTACTCAGTATGAGCCATAATGGCACAAGGTTTTGTGCCATCGCGGTCCAGCCAGTGTGGGATCACCAGCCTGCGATACAGATTGACATGGTGCACGGGTTCCTGCTAGCACTCACACCAGGTGCGGCGCCCGGCAGGGTAAGGGAGGCCTCATGAATTTCCACCAGCGCATTGCGGAAGGCGGCCCAGCCATCATCAGTGGCGCCGGGGGTGGTCCCCGTGGTGGCAGGCACTATGATGGTGCTGCGCCCATGCATGCGACTCGCCTCCGACACCTGCACCCCGTGCAAGCACACACGCCACGCCACAACATGCTCACAACAATCAAGCACTTCCAGCATCATGACAGGTGCAGAGACTGGCCTTTACCAGCCCCATATCCATATACATCTCCATGTGATTAAGCCTCCGGCCAGTGGAGATTACCCCATGTCATGTCAGACACGTGGGTTTTGAAGCAGTACCAGCAGGAGGAGAGTGCTAACGCAGAACGAGGAGTGAAAGAGAACAAGAACATGGCAAGGAGCCGGATGCAAGAGCGCGGCTGGCAGAGGCAGTGACCCGACGCTCAAGATGAGGGGCAGCAGAGGCAGGGCAGGGAGGCGGAGTGGTGGGCACCTTGAGGAATCGACCCCGGGGGTTCTCTCCCACGTCGAAGTAGAACACCTGCCAGGGGCCGCCCGGGGCGCGCGCAACCAAGAGGCACAGGGCGAGGGGGGCGAGGGACAGATTAAGGGTGCAACGGAGATGTTCGAAATGACCAGCATAAGAGGGGCGGGAAGAGGAATCAGGTTTAGGAAGTATGAAAAGGGCGTTGAGCGTGCGCGCGCGCGTGCGGGAGGTGGCACCTTGGAGTCGAGCTGCAGCTCCTTGCTGTTGAGCTGGCCCTGCTCGCCGCCGTTGGCGTAGTAGTTGAACAGATCCACGAACCACACCACGCCCGCCACCGGCACCAGGATCGTCGACCGGTTCAGCGCCGTGCGCTCGCTGATCTTGAGGTAGCGGCCGCGCGGGTTGTCCTTGAGGTCGAGATGGAAGAGCTTCTGCTCCAACTGCAACGACCGCGACACCAACTCCACGTCTCCCATCGCCATCGCCGCGCACACCGGGATCTCTGCACCGCACCCACCAACGAGCAACGAGCAATGCGCCAATTAGATGCGCTCCTTACGACTCTCCGCTACCCTTCACCCCTTCCGAAACCCACCAGCTTCCCGCTCTTTTCGCCCGCCAACCACCTCGCTGAACACGCGTGTCGTCTCAACTCAAACCGCCCGCCTCCTCCACTCCCTCCGCCGCGCCTCCCGCTGCCTGCCCGGATCACAGCCCCTCCTCCCTCAGTGGCGCGTGACACGTCGCAATGAGCAGAGCAGGACGAGGGAACAAAAACAAAGAGGAACTCAAATGTGAATACCTTATTCCTTCTGCACAAGCTTCCGAACACACTGAATGCAGCTACAGCTCTTGTATAATTTTACTAGAATATATCCACTTCATGTAGTACAACACAGCTCAGATTGTAGCAGTAATATGTACAGTACATGTTCTATATACACGTAATTATGACAACAAATCTCAACCAACACAAGGAGCCAATTTTGTTTGCCTTGGCACACACCCCCATGCGCAAGGTGCTTCTCAGCGTGCTGGAAGCCATGCTGGAAGCTTTAGTGTAACAAGCTAATGTGTGGATGCAAGTGCTTGGTGCAGCTGCTGCTGCGAGTTGACTTGCACATCATGGTAGTAGAGCAGCACACATGCGGGCTGGCCCACAATGCAGAAGAAGAACCAGAAGAGCATGTTGCCCACCTGCAACAAACGCCGGGCAGCAGGACGGGCACTTAATTTTCTTCATCATATGACCCTGTGCTATGAGCTATGCGTGCAGAAGAAGGAACGCAGAGGAAGGGAGTGCATCAATGCGCTAAAAAAAAAAAAGCAGGAGCATGTAACTGCAAAGCCATGAATCACAGGAACCGTACCATTGGATTTTGAAACTTTTGGTAAAGATAGTTGGTGATCCAGACCAAGGGAATCTGAGGGGCGGAACAGGGGGCAGGGAGATAAGCACACAGCATCAACGGGACCACCACCATCCAGTCATGGCACGCCTATACAGTTTACACCGATAGTTGGTGATCACCACGCCTATCGCAAGCAACACAAAATGGCTCCCTGAGTACTAAAGAAACAGATTAATCGGTAGCTACAGAGCAGAGCATGGGCAAATACTACGAATCGAGGCAAGGGAGTGGCAGAGCGCTTGCCTGGAAAATCATGCCAAGGAAGGCCCAGAGGCGAAACATGTGGCAGGGAATTCCAATCAGCACCTGCCATGTCAAACACACAGGATAAAGGGAACGATGGGTGTCCATACAACGGGGAAGAGCTCGCATATGCAGTGAAATGATGGGGGGCGGCAGGACGATGAGAGGTGAGGGAGGTTGTGTACCTCGTGGAAGACAGCTGAGAGGAAGAACACCACGAACACTGCGAGCGGCTGCCATGCACCACACACACAACACATCACATCACATCACCCGCATGTCAGCACCGTTGAACAACCTGGATCGTGAGCAGTGGAGAGCAGCTGGAAGGTGCTGCCATGCATATGCACAACGAAACCAAGGCATGCAACACACTGGCTTGACGGCATGCGGGGGGTTTGGGGGAACACCTTGGTGAGGCCGATGGAGAGGCAGGGGAAGTAGATGTGGCGCACCATCCACCGGTGCACAGGCTGGTGGGGGGCACAGAGGTGGCATGTGAGCATGGTGGCTGACTGCTGTCAGATGTGCCCAATGGTCAACATGGGGCAAACGGCAGACTCAAATGTGAATGGAAGCCAACACACATGAGAGACACTTACCATGTTCCACAGCTTCCAGTACTGCAGGCGGTGAAGAGTGCACCGCACACATACATGCACACACAGGCACCAGCACACACGCACAGAACGGATATGGCAGAGCACAGTGTGAAGGCAGGCATGACGAGCATGCTCCAAAGGGACGAGGCATGGTTGAGCGTGGGGAAGGAAACGGGGGGAACGGGAGTGCACCTCCTCTATGGTCTTGGCGTTCCACCAGTCGCGGTAGAACTCCCTGTCCCCAAAGCACAGCAACTCGCCCAGGATGTTCAACCTGCCGCCCATGCACACACACAAGGAAAGGGTTTTATTGAGACCACGCATGGCGGCACGAGGGATGAGTGGAGACATGTAGGCATGAGCAGAGCAGGGATGAGTGGGGGCTTCATGGACTGACCAGAGGTGGAAGAAGCAGAAGAATATGCCAAGCCACACGTAGAGGGTGGGGATGGACAGCTTCAGGACGCGCTCTATGCTGTAGAGAGAGTGGCCCTTGAGGGGATGCTGGCTGTTCTTGATTATGGGGTTGATGTACTGCCACACGGACCAACCAAGCAAGCAGCACGTTCATGGACAAAGGAAGGCAGGGAGAAGAAGGGTGCCACTTTAGCTGAGCATGTCGCACGCAAGAGTTGAGAACCTCACAGGGTGGAGATACGAAAGAGAGGGAGGGAGAAGGAAGGAGGTGGTGGGCGCAGGGGCGGACCTGTTCAATGATGAAGAGCACGAGCCCTGTGAACGTCAGTAGCTTCACCACCTGCTGCAGCAGCCACCCCTTGCGCACATGCGGTGCTCGAGGGTACCCCAGCTGCCACACAGTCACCAACACACATGTGTACGGGGGGACAGAGCGCGATGGGGAACAGGCTACAAACAGTGAGACGGGCTGCAAAACAAGACACTGGCTGGCATAAAAGCAACAGTGCATGCAGCACAATGGAGCATGAGAGGAGAGAGTGAGTTGGTGAGGTGGCGCACCTGGTAGCAGAGGGTGGGCGCAGCCATGAAGTAGCAGAGGTTGCCCACTGTGAGGTTCAGAGGGTACTGCACCACCGGCGCCCCTGCCGCAGGCACCAGCTGCCACGTACCAACAACGGTAGCACATCAGTGGGCAATGGGAAACAGAGAAACGTGTATCAAGGCTAGTGAGCAAGGAGAGACACAGCGGAGAGAAACGTCCTGTACATCTGTGCGAAAGCACAGGAAGCAGCAAGTGGGGTGGGGTATGAGACGTGTGAGCAGTAAGGCAAGCATGGTGAAGAGCAGAGCAGAGGTTGATGTGCACCTGATGGCCTTCAGACAGCTTCTTGCGCACATCATGCAGCGTGTGCGCGTACGAGATGAGCTTCATGAACACCGTCACCGCCACAAAGATTAGCAGAAAGCCGCCCAGGGGCTGAGAATGCACCCTGCAGGAAAGAAGGTGTCATGCACTGGTCAGAGTGGAACTGGGACAGACGTACGAATGGGCAATGCTGATACAGTGGTACATGGTCATGAAATGAAACCAGCAACAGCCTTCGTGTTACATGCCTGTTGATGACAATAGCCGGGTAAAAAAACTCTCCTGCAATGTTGACAACATGCAAAAATGCCGTAACCTGCGAGGGTCACACGGCAAGGCCATGAAATAATGTAAGCCTGCGTCAACAACACTGGAATGAAACACACGTGTGACTGACAGCAGTGAGACAGGAAAAGGAATGGGCGGGTGGCGCATAGGAGACACCTGTTCAGTGATGTAGCCGTGTGCGCGCAGCTTCTCAATGCAGAGCGCCATTAGGGGGAACGCTGCCAGACTCAGCCTGGACGACAACAGACAGTTTGCATTGACAGGCAGTGCAGCGAGGTTCGGGAGGAAGGCGAGTGAGAGCATGGACGGTCAAAGGGCGGGAAAAGAGGAAGAGAGAGAGAGGGGGGAGGGGAGCAGGAAACGCAGATAATGATGTGACGGGACTCAATGAAGAGAGCATTGACAGGGTGGAAGGGTTGAGGTAACTGACCCACACATGAGCAGAGGCCATTCGCGCAGCGAGCTGCTGGAAAGCCAGAAGCTAGAGCGCGCCAGGATGCCATACTGCACACCACAGAGGGAGCCAGACGCGCGCATGGGGGTGACATATGACAGCACACACGTAACTCGCGCACGAGCACCACACAGAACGCATGCAAGGCCGGGGGTCGCAGAATGGTGGGCACCGCAACGAGAAATGGCTGTGCTCCTCAAAACGCAGCACCGTGCCCGCACACGCAATTCACTTTATCACAGACAGTGGAGAGCAAAGCAGGAGCGAGTGCAGCAGGATAGGAGGGGGTTGACCTTCATGAGGTTCTCAATGATGAGGCGGCTGTTCACCGCCACCAGCAGCACGATGCACAAGTTGAACAGCCCTGCATGGCTCTGCACACATAAACCACCAGTGGTCGCATGGGTACAAGGACACAGTTGTTGCGCACGGTGCACTATGGGGAAATATAGAAACGTTTTATTCTTTTTCAAGGGGTAACAGGTTGTTGCATGCACATTCGCACGAGGGTACAGACAGATAGGGGCTGTGCGAAGATGAGCAGAGGCGAACTGACCTGTTGGAATATGGCAACGGAGCTCAATGGGCTTTCCCTCACATGCTTGTGAGCCGGTGCGCACACCCATGGCACCCCCCTTCTCTCTCCAGCCTTCCTCACTCGCTGCTCACCCTCCTCTCCTTGCCCCGAACGCCCATGCTCATGCTGGCACGAGCTCCTGCTGTCGCCCTCGTCCCTGCCCTTCCTACGGCGCACCACTGCCGCTTCACTGTGGCTACCATAGCCTGCCGCCCCCTGCTGCGCCCATGCCGCGCCAACCCCGCCCGGCCATGCGCCCTCCCTGCCATGTGAAGTGGCATGCAGCGGGGCGTGGCGCAGAGAGGCAGCGAAGCTGTCAGCGCGCTCAACGGACGAGCTGCTGCTCGTCACCTCGCCCGCCGACGCCTCTGACGCCTCCCCTGCCACCTCCTCCGCTCTCATCGACCCCGCCATTCCCTTTGCGGTGCCTGTGGCGTGGTGCTGATGCAAGTGTGGCGCAGTGCACGACGATGTGGGCGCACAGCACCCTGCCGCCTGCACCGCAGCAGCAGGAAGAGGCCACAATATACAGGGCGCAGCGGATTCATTAGGAAAGCTCATGCACCAAAGGCAAGCATCACTGGGAAAAAAACCTTAGGCCTACCAGCACTACAAGCCAAAAGAGGTGCGAAAAAACCTGCAAGGCAACCTTACCTGCAAGGCAAGCATCCAGTTGTAAACCTCTGCCTCGTCTCTGGAGCTCAAGCGGAGCAGCATGTTGCCCTGCGAGTCCTCTGGCAAACAGGGTACGAGTCAAACACGAATAGAAAAAACCGTCACCACAGGGCCTGCCAGCACACCAGGCCAGCACAACGATTCTGACGGGGAAGCGGTGGAGATAGAAATCGAGACGAGAGCTTTCTAAAGGGTGCAGAGTGCGAGAGCGCACCAAGGCGGAAGATGAAGAAATTGGTGGCGCTGAAGCCGTCGGGCTTGGCGCCCTCAAGCGCGACGACGCACGAGTGCAGCAGCACGGCCTCCTCGGGGCGATGCTCCGTGTCCCTCTCCGACTCCCACGCCATCAATAGGTCGTCCGCCAGCCTGCCGCCCGCCACGCCATGCATGTAGCAACACGGCGCATGATGAGCCTCCACATCGCAAGGCGAACATCACTGGCTAAGGCTTTCAAACGCGAGCACAGCAGGCGAACATCACTGGCTAAGGCTTTCAAACGCGAGCACAGCAGGCGAACATCACTGGCTAAGGCTTTCAAACGCGAGCACAGCAGGCGAACATCACTGGCTAAGGCTTTCAAACGCGAGCACAGCAGGCGAACATCACTGGCTAAGGCTTTCAAACGCGAGCACAGCAGGCGAACATCACTGGCTAAGGCTTTCAAACGCGAGCACAGCAGGCGAACATCACTGGCTAAGGCTTTCAAACGCGAGCACAGCAGGCGAACATCACTGGCTAAGGCTTTCAAACGCGAGCACAGCAGGCGAACATCACTGGCTAAGGCTTTCAAACGCGAGCACAGCAGGCGAACATCACTGGCTAAGGCTTTCAAACGCGAGCACAGCAGGCGAACATCACTGGCTAAGGCTTTCAAACGCGAGCACAGCAGGCGAACATCACTGGCTAAGGCTTTCAAACGCGAGCACAGCAGGCGAACATCACTGGCTAAGGCTTTCAAACGCGAGCACAGCAGGCGAACATCACTGGCTAAGGCTTTCAAACGCGAGCACAGCAGGCGAACATCACTGGCTAAGGCTTTCAAACGCGAGCACAGCAGGCGAACATCACTGGCTAAGGCTTTCAAACGCGAGCACAGCAGGCGAACATCACTGGCTAAGGCTTTCAAACGCGAGCACAGCAGGCGAACATCACTGGCTAAGGCTTTCAAACGCGAGCACAGCAGGCGAACATCACTGGCTAAGGCTTTCAAACGCGAGCACAGCAGGCGAACATCACTGGCTAAGGCTTTCAAACGCGAGCACAGCAGGCGAACATCACTGGCTAAGGCTTTCAAACGCGAGCACAGCAGGCGAACATCACTGGCTAAGGCTTTCAAACGCGAGCACAGCAGGCGAACATCACTGGCTAAGGCTTTCAAACGCGAGCACAGCAGGCGAACATCACTGGCTAAGGCTTTCAAACGCGAGCACAGCAGGCGAACATCACTGGCTAAGGCTTTCAAACGCGAGCACAGCAGGCGAACATCACTGGCTAAGGCTTTCAAACGCGAGCACAGCAGGCGAACATCACTGGCTAAGGCTTTCAAACGCGAGCACAGCAGGCGAACATCACTGGCTAAGGCTTTCAAACGCGAGCACAGCAGGCGAACATCACTGGCTAAGGCTTTCAAACGCGAGCACAGCAGGCGAACATCACTGGCTAAGGCTTTCAAACGCGAGCACAGCAGGCGAACATCACTGGCTAAGGCTTTCAAACGCGAGCACAGCAGGCGAACATCACTGGCTAAGGCTTTCAAACGCGAGCACAGCAGGCGAACATCACTGGCTAAGGCTTTCAAACGCGAGCACAGCAGGCGAACATCACTGGCTAAGGCTTTCAAACGCGAGCACAGCAGGCGAACATCACTGGCTAAGGCTTTCAAACGCGAGCACAGCAGGCGAACATCACTGGCTAAGGCTTTCAAACGCGAGCACAGCAGGCGAACATCACTGGCTAAGGCTTTCAAACGCGAGCACAGCAGGCGAACATCACTGGCTAAGGCTTTCAAACGCGAGCACAGCAGGCGAACATCACTGGCTAAGGCTTTCAAACGCGAGCACAGCAGGCGAACATCACTGGCTAAGGCTTTCAAACGCGAGCACAGCAGGCGAACATCACTGGCTAAGGCTTTCAAACGCGAGCACAGCAGGCGAACATCACTGGCTAAGGCTTTCAAACGCGAGCACAGCAGGCGAACATCACTGGCTAAGGCTTTCAAACGCGAGCACAGCAGGCGAACATCACTGGCTAAGGCTTTCAAACGCGAGCACAGCAGGCGAACATCACTGGCTAAGGCTTTCAAACGCGAGCACAGCAGGCGAACATCACTGGCTAAGGCTTTCAAACGCGAGCACAGCAGGCGAACATCACTGGCTAAGGCTTTCAAACGCGAGCACAGCAGGCGAACATCACTGGCTAAGGCTTTCAAACGCGAGCACAGCAGGCGAACATCACTGGCTAAGGCTTTCAAACGCGAGCACAGCAGGCGAACATCACTGGCTAAGGCTTTCAAACGCGAGCACAGCAGGCGAACATCACTGGCTAAGGCTTTCAAACGCGAGCACAGCAGGCGAACATCACTGGCTAAGGCTTTCAAACGCGAGCACAGCAGGCGAACATCACTGGCTAAGGCTTTCAAACGCGAGCACAGCAGGCGAACATCACTGGCTAAGGCTTTCAAACGCGAGCACAGCAGGCGAACATCACTGGCTAAGGCTTTCAAACGCGAGCACAGCAGGCGAACATCACTGGCTAAGGCTTTCAAACGCGAGCACAGCAGGCGAACATCACTGGCTAAGGCTTTCAAACGCGAGCACAGCAGGCGAACATCACTGGCTAAGGCTTTCAAACGCGAGCACAGCAGGCGAACATCACTGGCTAAGGCTTTCAAACGCGAGCACAGCAGGCGAACATCACTGGCTAAGGCTTTCAAACGCGAGCACAGCAGGCGAACATCACTGGCTAAGGCTTTCAAACGCGAGCACAGCAGGCGAACATCACTGGCTAAGGCTTTCAAACGCGAGCACAGCAGGCGAACATCACTGGCTAAGGCTTTCAAACGCGAGCACAGCAGGCGAACATCACTGGCTAAGGCTTTCAAACGCGAGCACAGCAGGCGAACATCACTGGCTAAGGCTTTCAAACGCGAGCACAGCAGGCGAACATCACTGGCTAAGGCTTTCAAACGCGAGCACAGCAGGCGAACATCACTGGCTAAGGCTTTCAAACGCGAGCACAGCAGGCGAACATCACTGGCTAAGGCTTTCAAACGCGAGCACAGCAGGCGAACATCACTGGCTAAGGCTTTCAAACGCGAGCACAGCAGGCGAACATCACTGGCTAAGGCTTTCAAACGCGAGCACAGCAGGCGAACATCACTGGCTAAGGCTTTCAAACGCGAGCACAGCAGGCGAACATCACTGGCTAAGGCTTTCAAACGCGAGCACAGCAGGCGAACATCACTGGCTAAGGCTTTCAAACGCGAGCACAGCAGGCGAACATCACTGGCTAAGGCTTTCAAACGCGAGCACAGCAGGCGAACATCACTGGCTAAGGCTTTCAAACGCGAGCACAGCAGGCGAACATCACTGGCTAAGGCTTTCAAACGCGAGCACAGCAGGCGAACATCACTGGCTAAGGCTTTCAAACGCGAGCACAGCAGGCGAACATCACTGGCTAAGGCTTTCAAACGCGAGCACAGCAGGCGAACATCACTGGCTAAGGCTTTCAAACGCGAGCACAGCAGGCGAACATCACTGGCTAAGGCTTTCAAACGCGAGCACAGCAGGCGAACATCACTGGCTAAGGCTTTCAAACGCGAGCACAGCAGGCGAACATCACTGGCTAAGGCTTTCAAACGCGAGCACAGCAGGCGAACATCACTGGCTAAGGCTTTCAAACGCGAGCACAGCAGCAGAAGCGCCTACGAGGCATACTTACACAAAATAGCGACGGTGCCATGTGCGTTCCCATACCCTTGCCCTATTAACGGAAAAGGGATCACACAAGGATGAGGTAATGGAAGGTAGACACTGAAGGACGAAGCGACGGGAAAAGCACGGGTGAGATGAGCAAGATTTTGGAACATGCGAAACCAAACGAGCCAGCAGGTGCGAGGGCGCAACGAGATAAACAAGTTTGGCACTATACCATGGCCGATAGCGATTGAGGTACCCGCAGCGGAGCAACGGTGCTGGGAGCTGTCGGCGTTTGGAGGGAGCATAAGGAAAGGGCAGGAGATAGGGGAGAAGGCGGCTGATGCAGGACTCAATCGAAGGTAATAGTGAAAGCGGTTCAACGCTGGAATCATGGAGAGGAAAGGTCGGGAAACGAACACACAAGCAAAAATGTAAGGTGGAGCATGCACAGGGAAAGCACAGCAAACGGAGAGAAAAGGTGAGACGTCCAACAAGCCAAGGACTAACTGTCGTTGGCGAAACGCGAGTGTCATGCGCGGACCTGCCACGTTGGAGCTGTGGGAGGCGATAGTGGAGGCGGGGTAAGGGGAGCCGGCGCCACAACGCTGGCCAGCATGTCCGTCTTGGTGGCGCCCACACGCGCATGCAACGACTCCATCGCCTCGCGGTTAAGCGCGCCGGTGAAGACAGACCAAGCCCGCGGATCAACGAGACGGGCGATCAACACGTGCAATCGAAGAGGACGGAAATTTACGGGTGCACGCACGGTGCCTTCAGAATGCCAATTCACAACTAGCACAGCAGCGATGACTTCCTACAGCAGTAAGGTAGTAGCAATTCACCTCTAAACGTCAATATATAACAATTGCGTTGACTACTGAACGACTCAACTGCCGCACGGCCCAATTCACCATACAGACCACCTTACGATAACCTAAACTGGCAATTCGAGGACAGGACAGACATGTCCTGCTCTAGCTGTGCGGGGGCTGGAGTCTAGTGGAGGAAAGTTGCTTGTGCAATGGATGAGAGACGAATACTCCACGCAACTGAGCACAATACTGTTCTCTCATCCCAGCCGTTCATGAGAGAAAGCGAGTGGACGAATCGATGAATGTTTTGGTGGTGGTGGAATGGCCCCGCTGGGCCAGCAACGGCTCAGAGGTGACGTGGTTCTGCATCACTCGCGACGAGGTTGGGCCAAAACTGACGCCAAGTAGTGCTGGCATCTCGCCCTCGGCGCGCCGTTGCGACACGGGACGGGAATCACACTTTTGATTCTCCGAGGAATTGACGGTGATGACAGACGTTCCCGTAGGGTGGTCAGCTGAATCGTCGATGTTCACCACAATTCACCAACCTCCCAGAACAGTGGGAGAGCAACCGCTTGGGAGAACTTCGTCTACAGTCCATTACTCGAAAGCTAGGAACAGTAAGCGACTGTGTCTGTAAGAAATCACTTTTCCGAAGAGTATATCTCAGCGGACAAGCGAGTCCGCCCGGGGGAGCTCGCTGCCCACGGGCAAAAAAAATAAACCCCAGAAGGGCATGCATCCGGTCAGGGAGGCATCAACCCTAAACACGGGGAGGCATGGATTTAGGGTTGATGCCTCCCTAGGATGGCATGCCATCCGATAGGGTTTTAGTTTTTTTCTGCCCGGGGCAGCATGTCGTCAAGTCGTCAACAGGTCGTCAGGCTTGACGACCCGTTTTGGCTGAGATTTTCCGTGATTGGTTATACCATAACAATTCAAGCACAACATCCACTTTGCTACCTTCATTTCCGAGATAAGCCCGCCCTTGGGGGTATATTAAAACACGTTACTTTAGGGGGGTGGGATTATAATCGATGAATTTTAGAAGCGACTGTGTAGATATAATGGCAAACATTAAATTCTATATGTTTTACACCAAACTGTAGATCTCGTTCTACCGATTGTAATCGAGTCGAAAATGTATAGGGTCGCGAATCTGATTCTCGCGCAGCTTGGCAGGAATTGATTCCCTTCAACACATGCTGACTAAATGACAGCACGTGCTGTCGGTCCATATGCTCCGTAACCGTAAGCGACTCTTCGCGTCACTTTGTCTCTCGTGCTCGACATTGTTTGCTTCACTTGCTGCGGTTATGTGCGACGGCTGACCGGCGCAAACGTTTGGTCGAAGTCGATTCCGTGCCTCTGATCGTAACCGCGCACGACCCAACGTGCTTTAAATCGCTCGATCGTGTCGTCCGTTGCGGTCTTCGCGCGGAAGACTCATTTGCCATAGAGAATACTTCTCCCTTTGATTACGACGAGCACCCAAGTGTCGCGGTACTCGAGCGCTTTGATCTCTGCGTCCATTGTCTCGCGCCACTCCTTGATGTGTGGTCCCGTATGTGCTTGAGGCGGGTTCTTAGGCTCGATGACACATGGCGTCGTTGAAGTGGCGGCGTGGAGTCCTAACAGCTGATTCTGAGGCGGTTCTGTCGTGGCGATGCTGCGAGATGACTTCCTGCATGTCATCGTTATCGCTCTCTGGTTCAGGTGGTGGTGGTGGAGCTGCGCCTCTCCCGCTTCCCCCTGTTCCGTCGACTCGTCCTTCTGAGGGGTCGTCATCGTCATCGTCGCTGCTCTGGCGATTTGTTCCTCCAAACTTTCCGAATCCGTCGTTGGCGTAAACGTGATTCGCGTCGTCTGCTCGTCTTCGCGGAATTGTTAAAAAAAAGAGCTGCTCGTAGAAGATGGCGTCGCGCGCATTCGTGACCTTTTGACTGATGAGGTCTAGAATGAGCTACGCCTTGTACTCGTGGCTGATGCCGAGGTGGATTCCCCAGCACGCGCGGCTAACGAATTTGCCGATAGTTGATGTCGGCGGGTGATATTGCACCATGCACCCCCAGACGCGGAGCATGGATGTGTCGCCTTTGGTGCCCGTCCACTTCAGATGCTGTGTTGGCGTTGGTTGACAGCAAGTTATGCACCCGCACGGCGAGGTGCATCGCATATGTCCAGTATGTTGGCGGAAGCTTTGATTGCTTCAGTAGCGCCCACACATTTGTCATGGATGTGCAGTTCGTGCGCTAAGCTACGCCTGGCTGCTGGTGCGCGTAGGGGAGGGAAATGTTATGCTCGATTCCCTTTTGCGCCAGGTAATCCTGCGGCGCCGTTCGATTGCCAGATTTTCAGTTTCTCCCCAGATTGTCGTTGCGCATGCGCCAGCCAGAGACGGAAGACCTCGTACGCCCTGCTTCGCGCTTCCACGTTCACGATCCAGACGTAGCGGGTTCCCGCGTCAACGAAGATGAGGGTGTACTGCTCGTCGTTGGTTCCGCAATAGCCCATGACAAGGAAGTCACTGTACACCTTGTGCAGTTTTGGGTAGCGGTTAGTTCCCGGCTCAAGCAAGGGCAGATGGTGCAGTTGCGCGGCTGTGTCGTGCTTCTCACTTCAGTGCCATCAGAGCGCAAGAGTGCCCCAGGCGCAAATACGCCGGCCTCGATGCAATTTCCTTCAGTGTCACGCGCGAGGGGTGGTCGAGGCGCTGGTGCCAAAGGTTGGCGCGGAATCCAGAGGTGCGCATGTTGCGTGCGCGTACTGCTTCAGGGTCCTCTTCAGATAATGGGGCAGGTTCCACTGCAGTTTCTTCTTTGTCGTTCACCGTCATCAGCATCAGCGCCAAAATTTCTTTGTCGAGAATCACGGATAAGGGGATGTTGGTGCCGGGGATCATGACAGGGACGAAGGTAGGCTCGCGCGGCTCGGTATCGGGTCCGTAAACTGAGCGACGTGGCGTCGACGATTCGTTGTGTTGAGATAGTAGGAGAAACGATAGAACAGAGAAGAGGGGTTTTGGACTAGCAGCAGCAGGATACATATAGGAAACCCTAAATTGGGTTGTACTTGCTATAGAGTACCCCACTGCAGGATAGACAAATACAGCATTCTGACACGTTGCCCGAATCGATGGTGTCCTAGGGGTCGCGGTGCGTCTGAACGTCAGGAGGAAGTAGCGCGAGTGCAGGGAGGCGCGGAGGGACGACCGAGGGGAACAATAGGAGGTTATGTTTCTCCTTCAGTTTCCCCCCTTTGGTCTTCTCGGGACGTTCCCCAGCTACCGCCAGAAGTGCCCCATCCGCTGCCTTCGCCGCCAGTTGCAGCGCCCCAGCCGCCGCCTGCGTTAGCTAAGGTGCCGCCGAAGTTGCCCCATCCTCCAATGTCGCTCGTTCCCCATCCGCCAGCGCTTCCCCACCCCCCTTCATTGGAGACGATGTCTTCTTCTTCGGCACCCAATGCGGCGCATGCGAATGTGCCGCGTGCTTCAGCGATGCTCTTCTGGCGGAGCTCCTCGGCTTTGCGGCGCGCCAGTTCTTCTTCTTTAGCCATGGTAAGTTTTTTCATGTGGTCGCGCCAGTGGGGGTAGATGTTCAGGAACTGTTCCTTTGTGTATGGACGCACTCTTCCTTTTGTGTCGAGGGTTCCGCGACGGCGTCCACGCAGGATGCCTTGAAGCCGCTAAGAGGGGGGGGCACAAGAGGGGGTTCTGGTTCGGGCCAAAGACGTGATGAGTGGCGCGTTCTAGCTCCAGCGCCGACATTCCTTCATCTGGCGGCGCGAGGCATTTAGCTTCGGCGATGGCAGCGAGACCACGACCGGCGTGAGACAGTCTCTGCAGATGTCGTTTGGTTCAGGGTCATGCAGCGCCAGTTCACGTTGGCACCTAGGGCCTCCCATCAGGGTGCTTCAAGTCTGAGCGACGAATGTATTCGAATCACAGTGGAACGAGATCAATTAGCTCGTTCGAGTCGCCGTCGAAATCGGAAATATCGAAATTGAGGGTGTACACCCCATTCTCGGAGTGTGCCCGTCCGATCTGCCTCCTTGTGTGTGTCGGCGATGAGTAGTGCAGAAATATGTCGCGCGTGCGCGGATCCGTGCTCATTTCGATGCCGCAATCCATGATTTGAGCGGCGGACAGGAGATTGAAGCGTAGGTTCTGGACTACGAGCACATCATTCAGCGTGATGTGTGTGCAGCTTCCCCGTGCTTTAAGAACGACGATTCCTTGCGCGCTTGCGCGCAGGCGGGTATTGTTGGTCACGGTGACTGTTGGGGTCGAGACGGCGTTAAAGGCGAAACGCTCGGATTCGACCATGTGCTGCCCGCAACAGTTGTCGTCACGTGCGAGCAGCGCCAATCGCGGCGTGACGATGTGCGTGTGTCGAACTTCATAAATTGTTCGCGCGAGATCCAATCAATTGGTGCTGCCCGGGAATTAGGTACGTGCAGGGGGGTTTCAAAAAGCAGGACTAGAAGATTCCAGTCCTGATTGTTGTCGTCGCTAAAATCGTGGCGTGTAGTGAACGGATTGTTGTCCGTGAATGCTTCGATTCGGTGGCGTGCTGGGTCTGGTGATAGCGTGCGCACGTGGGGACGACGCGATCCGCTCGTTTTTGTCATGGTCATGTTGCCGATGACCTTGCAGACGGGAGCAGGCTGCTGCTGATGCTGAACCGCTGGGTTCAGGTTACGCGATGGGGGATCGTACCCATGGGCTTGACGCGTGTCATTTCGTGCGTCTTGTCGGCCAGACCAGGTGCTCGGATTGGTTTGGCGAGGGCGAGATTGGAATTTACATCGATATGCCAAATGCCCAAGGTTTCTGCAGATTTTGCAG